TACTAACTACTAACTACTAACTACGATCTACTAACTACTACCTACTACCTACTACCTACTACCTACTACCTACTACCTACTAACTACTAACTACTAACTACCTACTACTAACTACTAACTACTAACTACTAACTACTAACTACTAACTACTAACTACTAACTACTAACTACCTACAACAACTACTACTACTACTACTACGACTACGAGGAAAGAGTACTAGAAGTTGTCACACGCGACGATTGCTAGTATCATGACTAGATTGCTAGTATCATGGCTATTAGATCACTCCGATGAGGTCAGGTCGACTACGCCTGCACCACTACTCGCCATTTCCATCAAGCAGGACCTCCGTTTGCGCAGGTTGAATGCACACAGCAAATCTGAGTTGTGTACCCAGGCTGCTGACGATCAACCGTGCACATACGCTGCATGTTTTCAGCCTCAAGCAGCAAAATCAGCCTGAGTTTTTCTTGAAGCCTGCGTTTGTGATTGACCCTCCAATGATTCCGCTACATGTACCTAGTACATCAATCTTTCTTCTAAGGTAGTATGTATTGTTATATGTATACTTGGAAAAATCGGTCCACCCATGTGCCCCGGCTGCAATTCAACAGTTTGCACCCAGCTAAGCCAGGATAAGCCAGGAACTACGTCAACGATGGGAAGAGCCGCGGGACCTTAAGTGGTATGTGCTGCCAAACGGCACACCGGCCTACTGGAGGCTCTGCCTCTCCTGCCATCGCAACGCCTGGCCTCTGGATGGCAGGACTGCGAACCGTCACTCCTGGCCGGCAGAGGCTTTGCTTCACAAGGCGCGTAGCAAGACTCAGCTGGTGGCTGCTGACTTGTATATTCTGGAAACACCGCCCGAGATCTTGCTTCGCTCTCTGATTCCGAAGCAGTGCTTGCATCGCGGCGTACACTTCGCAGATTGTTGCTTCCCACCTTTACCTTTAATGGAGACACAAGACGCCTTACCAGATGATGACAGCTGGCGGAAGTGCTCCAGCCTCGGCGTTCGTGTTTGCGATGCTTGCGGCAAAGATCGTGGCTTCGGTTATCTTGGGGGGCAAGAGGTGGCCCAGGAGGACGTCACTATCTTAGCCGCAGTGCTCTGCTCCACTTGCCGAGAACAAGCGCTGGAGGGTGAGCCCCGCAAATCTCTAGCTTATGCTTGCGATGTCCGTTTAGCGGCCCGCTCAAAGCGTTGCGCTGCGGCATTGCTTGGAGAGCTCGGGATAGGCCATATGCTTACACCTAAAACAACGAGCGCGCGAGTCTTAAATGTTTGCTTAGGCGCTTCTTGCATGGCCCCAAACGTCTCCGTTGGCATTGTTAAATGCTGTGGTGGCCAAAATGCTAGCAACTATAGAAGTGAGATGCAAAACAGCAGAGTGTAGCTACTTAGCCGACTCACACTGCTCACGACGCGAATCAAGCCTTAGACAGTCGTCACGTTGCAGGACGGCGCGGTGTTTGCACTGAATGCCCAGGCGGGAACTGAATACGGGGGTCTCAGCGAGGCTGTCGTCGTTACTCTGCTAGAACCTTGAGCAGCGAGCGTGGGCACATGCATGTCACACATAACACTCAATAGCGCCGTGTACGTTACATCCAGTGTTTCGACTCGACGCTTCCACAACCATTCCTTCTCTTCCCACCCTCTGTCTCCTTTTGTTTTCGTTCGTTCCATTGTCGTCGTCCTAGTCGCACTGGTCGACTGGTAGCAGTAGTAGTAGTCGTAGCACAAGCAGCAGCAGCAGTAGCAGTAGTAGCAGAAGCAGCAGCAGCAGCAGCAGCAGTAGTAGTAGTAGTAGCAGTCGTCGTCGTCGTCGTAGTAGTAGTAGTTGTTGTTGTTGTTGTAGTGGCAGTGGTAGTAGTGGTAGTAGTGGTAGTAGTGGTAGTAGTGGTAGTAGTGGTAGTAGTAGTAGTAGTAGCAGTAGTAGTAGTAGTCGCAGTAGTAGTAGTCGTAGTAGTAGTAGTCGTAGTAGTAGTCGTCGTCGTCGTTGTGTTAGCGATTTCCGACAGCACGACCCCGCCAGCAATTTTAGAACTCACCAGCTGTTGCAATCTACTGGACGAGAGCTTGTTGAGCCTCTTGCGTGTGTCTTCAAGACTTTTGACTATTCGGTTCATGATCCATCTTCCTATCGAAACCACCTAGGCTGTCATAGTCATACTGGCCTGTCAAATCGATCAAGATATGCTCAGGCGGAAGCTCGTCATCTCCGAAGCAACGAAGCGTCACAGCTGGAAGTCACTGCCAAGCCATATTATCGTCATATCAACGCGTGTTCTCTCGGCGAAGATGACATAACACAAACTTTGGACATAGCGTGTGCACAGCCTTGCGCGAGATGTTGCTAAATTCTCCGAGCAGCCTGTACTGCGCACTCCGTCCCGCGTTCGTGCGAGGCCCATAGGCCTTTGCAGCGAATTGATGGTTAGCACAGCGATCGAGTTGGTCAGAGCTTTGTTTGCCGATGTGGCACAACAAGCATCGGGCGGCTTGCACGGAGATCTGAAGACTGTTTGCCACCCGGCCACCGGTTAGGTTCGCCATGCTGCCGGCGACGGTGCGAAGGTAGACCGAAGCATTCAGGTATCCATCTTCCGCTTGCACATGCAAAGAGTTCATTGCTACGCAGGATTGGAACACTCGTGGTGATGGATGAGATCTTCTATTACTCTCGCAAGGCGCCCCACGGTATCTGTTGCCCCGCCCTGCAGCCGCATGCCTACAACTGTGACCTGAGGTGGGGATGAGTTTGTCGCTGTTTGTCCACACTTTTCCGATCGTCAAGCATGTTACGGAAGTGAAGCTCATTCTCGGACCTGGCCACTACGAGGTTGGCATGCATCGAAACCTGAGGCTGCAAGTGAAGCTGCCGCTTGTGTCAGGAACCGTCGTGGCCGGCAGATGGAGCGCACAGTTTCGTTGCTGCCTTGAACGAGAAGTCCCCAAGTTGATCTAGTTCGTTTGCACCCTGCCCTGCAAATATTGCTTTGTGCAACGCAGGCTCCCGAAACTGGAATGCGTTCGCATGAAGGCGCATCTGGGTGATCCTGCCTTTCGTGCAGCTGTTTATGTACCCCGTCGTGTGACTCTACCCGTAGGTACTGACGTGTGAGGCATGTCGCGTATAATGCCGGCACCCATGGATGAGCGCAAGGATAAATGGGTGGGGGCAATGCCATGTCCCAATTTGTCCACACTCCATGATACGTTCTGCGTTAGCGCGTGCTGCAGCGCCACCCGCGTCTCCGCCTTGGAAACATGCAGCTACACGTTGGCATGCGTCTTTATCTGCTGAAACCATGCAGCAGTAAAGCTCAGCCAACATCTCTACAGACATGGTCGCCAAAGGGAACATCAGACAGACACGCGAATGCACAGACAGGCATGCAGGCAGACAGACGTTTTCGCGTACCTATATACACTTACCTTTATGTTCCACACGAGCTTCATCTGACAGTATAATACTGCACACACACGTACATGTACACAGACATTAGACATAGACAGGGACAGCCAAGAAATACGAGAATATGGATACGTATTGATATTATATATATATACACATAGTTATATACAGACATACAACTTATATACCGTATATAGGTCTATATATATATATATACATATCTTTCTAAATCATACAACCTCCACCTAATACACTTCTCCACCCGCCAATTGTGTATCGCAACTGTTCAAAGCGTTCTAGTGTTCCAAACCAAAAGCAGATAGAACTTCAAAATGGACACACGGCTCATTGTGCCTTCCACCTATGTACACAACATCACACTGCACAGACACTCAATGATCTTCAGCAGAAATGTACAAACCACCCCAAAAAGAGCACTGTTCCCACATCACTCAGTCTCGTTACTCATTCCTTGTTATTGTGGGTCTAACCCGGTCAACATAAAGCTGGGTGGTCATTATGAATCAATGGTGGATCGACTACTCGGCCCGGCATTGGCAATTCCGGGGCCATCGCAAAGGTTAGCGTGAGGTTTGAAGGAAGTGTCAATATAAAAGTTGGTATTATAATCAGAACATTTGGCCGATGATGATCTTGGTGGCTTAGAATTCGCAATGACTACCACAAAGCCTTAAAACGTTAGTTTTGGCATGAAAGAATACTCGCGTTCGGTCAGCAGTAAGTTAGTGGTGAATAAGGAATTTGGGTTAATAATGTATTGCTGAGGCAATACTAGCATTGTGCTGCTAAGGCCAGTCACTTTGGGGTTGCTACGCAGGGTAATCTGCGGCTTACTAATACGGTTAGTCAGAGGGCTAGCTAGTGGGATACTTGGCTTGCTACTTGGATACATCTTGCAGTTGGATATCAAGGGTATCAACCCGAGTTCAATATCGTTTCTACTCATCTTATCAGCAAGGTTTAAGGGCTACTAGTGTAAATGTATGCATTAAGCATACATCTATATCCGGCTCAGTATGTACTCGGGGGTACTTATATTCGGATCGAAAGAAATGTTCAATCATAGGGTTTCATCCTCCGGTTCATACCGGTTCAACACGAACAGTAACTTAAGAATATCCGACGTTGAGGATGAAGATCACAACGAAGGCTCAGCATGGGCTTAGGTTAAAGTTCACAGTAAGTCAGGCTAAGTTAGAGCTGGTGATACAGATCATGATGGCGAGCTCAGCTAGGTTTGAGGTTGAACTTAACAGCAAATCAAGCCTTTGAGGCCTTTCAGGTTTAGAGGCTTATGGTCTCAATTTCTTTGGGGGTATATAGGCCTTGTAGGATGACGTCTCATTACGCAGGATTACTTTGGTCTCTGCCTCTCGGGCGAGACACTCAAATCGTAGTCACGAGAATTGGCTTAATCGATGTTCAATAGGTTCGGTGCATGAACCAACTTTGAGTTAGATGTTGGACCGGGTTGCATATGCATGTGTGTGTGTGTACATCTGTATGTATATATATATATATCACACTGTACACACGCACACACGCGCGGATGCGAAAGCCTGCACGACCAGGACATGCTTGTTGGGAGAAGCTGTTTACGTGCATGCGCGGCTCAGAAAGAAGGTCATACACGACGTGGCTGTAGGATGCTTGAATTTCAAGCAGTTGGATGTGGGCATAGTGCACCACGCATCAGTCTGTGGTCGGCATCTTGTGACATCTATGACCTTGAAAAAGCCAGGTGCATTCCGAATCTGCTGCTGCACCACCGCTCGTGCCGATTCTCCTGGAGTTGCTTGGTCATGGGTTCAACACACATTTGTATCTCGAGGCAGCTTGCCCCATGAATGTTTGCTTGGAACATGTGCAGTTCTGGGCCAGACGGGACCGCAGATTTCCGCCAGTGCCAGGGCCAGCAGCGCTTGAAGGACAGGATTCACAACCACGCCGACCTGAACAAGGTGACCCTCCTAGAGGTATTCTAGAGAGTCCAAGCTGACACAGAACACCACGGCAATCCACGGGAGATCCACGGCAGAAGTTGGGGGCTTCATGGACGTCAACAGCGCGCAGACGACGCAGATTGCAAGTTCCAAATGGGGCATCGAGTCTTCACCGCTCCTACAGCCTAAGCCGAGCCCATGTACGACTGGACGACAAACTCGAGGAGCTCCGGAAGAGATTGCGCAACAACACAAGCGCGCGGATGCAAAAAAGCGCTGCCAGAGAGTGCAGTCTGCAGCCATCCAACCGTCGTGCCCCTCGGAAGCCAAAGAAGCAACCGGGCTATGAGGCGAATCGGCTTTGCGCCTGCCCTGCAGCCACCCCCACAAACGCAGAGCGGCGTGGGTCACAGAGCTCACAGCTCAGTCCAGACACGCTTTGTGAAGTATAGCCAACACCTCGGCTCTTGCGAAGTAGCTCTAGCTTTTCCGAGGTCATCGGAGCACCACCTCCAGCCACACACTTATTCACGGCAGATCAAAAAGATTCAAAAACCAACTTGGAGTGCACGCAAGAGGGATCAGTAGAGAGTATGCTCAAGTCCCCGTCGTTCGCCAAGGAGGTTCCTGCTCCTACGGTGGGCAACCTAGTTGCCGCACTCAAACACTCGGTCGAAGCATGCATCCATATATTAACCGTAACCTGTAGCATGTGTAAGCGTGGGACACTTTCAAGCCCTGAGGTCGTCTACATCTGAGAGCATCTTTTTGTTTTCCGCCATGGGTGTCTCATTGTTTAGGCTTTGCCTTGCAAACTCGATACTCCTACATGAAAGAAAGTGTAGTCAGATGTCGACAGCAAGTGCCTGAACAAGCAAAAAATGCTCGGGTGCCTTCGAGAGGGTCGTAATCATGCCAGTTTCACACTGTCCTGACACGTTGCGAACCCTGCTGATGGTTTCCTGAGCTGACTTGCGAGGTGATGTGGTTGAGGACAGCAGCATTGAACATATGTTGTGAGACAGTGGGATCAGTGTAACAGCTTGGCCAGGATGCAGCTGCCTATCCATTGCATTCTGCAGCGTGCTTAGCATCGGCCAAGGAAGGCTACAACTTTCTGAGAGACGCACTCACTTTCCAGCAGATCTGTACTGCGCTGGCAACACTGTGGGACTTGCACGACGTCGTCCGAAGTGGCAGCACAAGGTTTGCAGGCCGTCACTCGAGACTTGCACACCCAGACAAGAGCTGCATTTGTTGGAGTGTTGAAGGTCTCAAAAGCTGCTCACAGAAGGGTTGGGTCTGAACATGTCTGAACTCTGAACCATCTACATGCAATTCCGCGCGCACTCGTTGCCGAGTTTCCCGAGAGCCGGGGCCGAAGGTGTTTTTTTGGCAACACGAGGCAAGTTCGCAACAGCCGGGTGGGAGTTCATTTCTATAAATACCGGTCACCTATCGTCCTGCGCTGCAGCAGCAAGGCACAAACAGTCGTGCTACAGCTCCAACAGCTTACAGTGGTGTTACAGTCGAAGACCCCAGAAAGTGAGCTCCTGCATACACCCTGCATGCCGAGAGCGCAGTGGACCAGGGGCCCTCCATTTCGGTGGAATCATCCGGGAAAAACTATGCGAAGATCCTACTACGAAAGTGCTTGGGCACGCTAATGCTGACACCGCGAGCGAGCGCACAGCTCAAAGGCGACGGTATTTTTGTAAGAGGAATCGAGCATAATCGAGCGACCTTTTGTCAAGGACGCTCTGCACCTGCTCATGGAGTGCGTTGAGTTTGAATCACAAGCCATGAAACCAACGCGGCTGCAAAAGCATCGTATTTAGTTGCCCGTGGCAATCAGGTTGAGGGGCAAATGCGTCTTGCTGGAGACTTGTCATTTCATTTGCGCGACTACGAGGCTGGGCCTGCCTTGGCATGTTGACATGTCACATCATGCACCGACTGGGCTGGGAAAGGATATGCTCTGCGGTTGAGTGGAGCGAGGAATGGGAACGGACAGCCTTCGCAAGACCTGTCTTTATGTCCCCAGGTGCCCAAACGGAGTGACTCGCAAAACCGATGATGCATCGACCTTTGTTGTGTGATCATGCCGCCAAGTGCATTTCTCCTCTTCCTGACAACAGCGCGCAGTGGGGGACCAAGGGATACAAAGGGATTTACTGAGATTTGTGGTTGTATTGATTGGGAACCCGCGTTGCTGCAAAGCCGAGCCCATCCACATGTACCGGTGTCGTGGATGGAGCTCGCTCTGTGGGGAAGCTGGGATTGGCAGCTAATTATACAGTCCGCCCGAACGAAAGAGCGTTTGTTTCGGAGAACACGCCGACAGACTCCCAACGTACCCAGGGGCCAACGAAGTTCAGGACCTGGGAACTGGAATGGCTTCTCGAGCAGCAGAAGGAGTCTTGCGACAGATGTGTCGTTTTTGACAGCAGGTTGCGCTCAGCTACTACAGGAATGTTCACTCCCCAGTTCATGCCAGTTCATGCATCACGCACTGCTTAGACAGAGGAAGCTGATTGCGGTGGAATTTTCAGCCCTAGCGCTGCATCCAGCCTTCTCTCTTTCCTTGGGCCACCGACGTCCAACTAAAGGTCGTGAGTGACTTCAAGCAGGCAAGTTCTCCTTGGCAGAGCTGCGATCTGCTGGTTGCAGCGATGTGGTTGGCTTGGGACTTGGGAGGATAGAAGCTGGAAACATGCTGCTGGTGCTTATGAAATGCTGGCCCCTTACTGCTAATGAGAAAACTGCTTTGCAGGGATCCTCGTTCTCAAAGGTGGGGCCTCTGTGCCTACATAACCGGCGGTGCCAGAAGCGCTTGCCACCAAGTTGCCAGTCTGTACGAAAGCTGTTGCACGACATTTGCCGGCCTGCAGGAATGGATGCGGTGCATGGAAAGCTCTTACGAGCACTACCTGCAGGCTTCCTCCAGCAGACTGGCAATGCGAGTGCTTCGACTGCACGAGATCCACAGCCCACAAGCCCTGATCGTCGAGCAAAGACTACAAAGAAGGGCGCATCCGTTGAGGCGATGCTGCATGGGCACTTGCCGTGACCCTCACTCTGTTGGTTTTGTTGGTGGTCTTTGTCTCGCTCTTTCTGAGACAGAGTGTACTTGGAACACTGTCAAACACAGTCCGCTTGTAGAAGGCCTCGAAAAGGAAACGTCAGCTTGCGAATCCGAACTGAGACGAACCATCCGCTTTGTCGATAGGAACTTTCTGTTCCAGTCGAACGAACCAGTCGTTTCATGCTTCACATGCATTCCGCATATGTGAAGCAACGGCGACCCAAGACGTGCGAAACCAAGCTCTTGCTACTTGGGGGACACAGGAACCGAGTAATCGAGGACCAGATTGGGCTCCATGAAAGTCTGCAGGAGCAAATTCTGCTCTGCTGGGACTCGAACCGTGGAAAGCAACCAGGAGTGTGGGAGAGGAACCTGGACTCTGCACAGGTGTCAATATGCTGAGGATGAGGAACCATAATTGTACAGGCACTAGACGAGAAGCAAGCAGCAAGATGGCGGCAGAAGATATCCTGGGGTGGACAACATGCTATCCTTGATCTGTCCAGTCTTTGTCCAAGCAGGTTCTGTGCAGGAAACAGACTCAAGTTTTGAAGATTTCCTTCTCGGCTTATGGTTTGTGCGTGCGTGCATATGCTGGTCTTACGCTTACGAAAAGCCAATGTTTCGATACCGGCTCAATGGTTGCTGAACGTTGCCCATGCCGGGTTCGAAGCCTGTTTGCTGCCTCAGAGAGAGGAGAGAGAGAGATTTTACGAAACATGTGTATGTATGTACACCTTTACACATGTAAGAAGTCGACACATACATGAACACGATGTGTACATGTGCGTGTTCGGGCTGTTTTGGACGCTCAATTTTGCAACGTGCCAAAAGGGGACAGGCCATGTGAGTTTCTGCTCTTTCGACACCTTAGCAAGATCCCCGAAGTACTGTATGTTCGTGTGTGCTTGCATAGAGAAACTCGCAGTTGAACGGAGTCGTTGACCCGGACCCGCGACCTTTGAAGCAGCAGCATCAGTGGCATCTGTGCGGCCTGGATGGTCCAATGTACTCATGCAGCCGAGGCTGTTGCACTGCACCAAGCCATGGTGTCTGATGTGAAGGAGGCCGCACTGCGATTGATGAAGGCGCCTTGCGATAAGCGCACGTTCAAGTGCGCACCAGTGCCCCGCCCATGTTCCCATGTCGTGTGATGTGAGGTCAACGGAGATCTTGCCGACAACAACTTGAAGAACGCTTTGATTCTAGAACAGGCTGAGACGAAGGGACGGTTCTGTTTTGCAGCTTGGGGTGTGGCCTTTGCTAGGCGGGACAGCTCTACTACGCCAGCGGATCTGCAAGGCAACTTGAGCCACACAGCAAAGCGAAGCACAATTTCCTCTGACTGCTACCTGTGACCAGATCTAGGAAGGGGGCCTTCCATCTCGTCCTCGCTGGACACACCTACAACAAGCTTGGCTTTAAAAGGCCGGCTCTGAAAAGCTGCTCAGCTGCTCTCTGCTCTGCTGGATTTCAGGCTGGCCCTTTTCAGCTATCAGGCAGTCGTGGAGCTTTACCTGGGGAAGGGCTGGTCGGGCTCCAAGTGTCTCCAGTTGAAGGCGCCTCGTGTCTCGGTGATGCCAGGTTTCACATCACCGATCATTTCCACTTCACCATGGCACGCCAAGCTTTCGGCGTGGCTGCTCAGAAACTGGGCAAGTCGGCAGTAGCGTTTCTTCAGCTTCGCTGCTAGGACTCGGCATGAAAGACGAGCGCTGGCCTTGACCGAGAGCTGTGCCTCGCGTCAGCTGACGAGCTGCAGGTCTTTGGTGCATTTTCTCAAACTGCTGAACTCTTTTGCCGATGCACAGAAGAAGGTCTGCATCCAGGTGCGGACGCTGGCCGACATGGCTTGTGAAGAACGATCGCCAGAGCACTATGGATCTTTCAGGCAGACCGGGAAAACACCTACATCAAGGCACCGAGATACGCCGCGTGTGCTACCTCACAGCTAGAGCTTGCTAGGGATGCTAGGGCCCATCGGCAGCATGCACTCGACTGATCAGGAGTTTATCTATGTGGTGAAAGACTGGGTGCAGCCAGAACCCTTCTGGGTACAAATTGAAGGCATGCCCCGCTGCATGTGAATGTAAGGCAAAGCATGGCTGAAGATACCGGCACCGTCGACTTACAGGCTTCTCCTTGTTCAGAGTCCAGCGCTATCTCGTGGCAGTCAGCATTGGGGGGTAGTATGCAGATACCTTGTCTTGATCATGAAGTACGAGTCTATCTGTCCGACGACAAGCAAAGAGAGCCTCCACTGCCTTCTGCACAGCACTCAGATCCTAGGACAGACTCGCTGTTGGAGCCGTATCGATCCCGTCGTGAGCACTGCAACTGAGGAAAGTTCAGCGGCCTCCTGGGAACATCTCGGCGAGAAGGTTCCGGAGTAATACTCGAATATCATTCATCACAACCCGATACGCATCTTGATCTTTGGGCAGGTGATTCCGAACCTTAGCCAGGAGGACGATACTGCAATGGTCACCGGTTGCTGCAAGCTTTGAGCACCACTCAACCGTCGGTGCTACTCTGTACTAGATGCATTGGCGGGGCAACTCGCGTGCGCTGGGCCCGGACAAAGAACTGCAGGGCTGCTGACCACCATGCTGAAACGTTAGCATTCAACTCAGTTGTCGTTTGTTTCGGCTTCTGGAGTTGAATCTTTGCTCTCCCCAGAGCTTTGCGTGCTTGTGCGGAGAGGGCTCCGAAAAACTGATGACTTATGACTGCCGGGGCACTGCTGGATTGTAGAGCTTCCGTTCTCGGGAGCTGCATGAAACAATCGAAATGGATAGCCATCGGGGTCTCTACTGACTCTATACATGGCAGGCATGAAATACAGCCTGAGCTCCAACAGAATCAGTTCCCCCCCAACAACTCCACTTCTCCTTCGCAAGTTCAAAACACGGTCGCTCCGCTTGCTGTCTTCTGTGTCGAAGTCACATCACGCAACAGCCTTGACGACAATGCTCCAGGACAGGCAAGAGCTTGGTTGGCGTCAGAGGCACGAATCGCAAACGACTCTGCAGTGGTCAGAGCTGCAAATCCACTGCCTGTTGAGATCTGATGTGCGGATCTTTGACACTCTGCGACGCGTCAGTGCGACGGGCGCAAAGGCATCGTGGAAAGCTGACTTGCGCTACATAGAGGCAGCGTTTGCGGTTGCGTTCATGCTTAAAGGTCTTTGTAGAGCTCGCACTGCCTCGGCCCCAGTCCGACAAGAAGCGACAGATCTTATTGAGCACGCAATCTGCAGAGGACCAACCCCATGCGGGTGAAGTGGGAGATTGTCGGCCTAACTCTTCGAGGGCGACTGCTGGACAGTTCGAAAATCATCTTGGCATTGCCTACACTCGCCTGCACAGCAGAAGCGGGTTCGGTGGCAAAGCGCGGTCAGGACAGCAACAACGAGCCTTCAGCAGATACTCAAGCCGAAGCCCCAGCCTTGTCAGTGCTTCAAACACCTGTAGCAAGCTCTACATTGACTTGCTTCTTGTACCAAGGCGGTCGAGTTCACTGCACAGGCCAGTGACGGTGGCGAAGCCCAGAGAGACTTCTTCCAGTCTTACAGGATGTCGAACTGGGGCCGCTGGAGTCCAAGCAAATTCGTCTGGCTGCACTTCCGCAACGGGAGGCGACATCCAGTTCTCGCGGCTTCGCAAACAGTGTCAGTGCATGACAGGGGCTGCTACAGATCCTGGGTATCAGATGGACTATCTTCGACTGCCACAAGGCAACCTGTCTGAGCATCCAGAGCAGAAGGATCGCTGTTGCACAGCATGAAAGAATGGCTGGTTGCTGTAGGGCCTTCATGGTGCTTCAAGCACCAAACTCCAATGCTCCATAGCATTGGCTCAGCTATCTCTTCGCTCGTCTTTTCTTTGTCCCACCCTCCCTCCCTGATTCTTGCTGCCGGATGATGGGAAAGGGTATTAGGGATACGCCTGTCCTTCTTCCAAGCTTGCGTGTCTTCGACCACCGAACCTATGTGCTCAGGACATGAGCATGTGTCCAGGCACGAAAAGACCAATGGCCTTAGGCCGATTGAGTCTACTCACCTATGTCACCGAGGACGCTCTGACGAAAAAGAACGAAAGATGTGAGCCTGCGCGCATCGGTACTTCTATGCGCCAGGTGGTTTGCGAAAGGCCTTTCCAACTGAAGGGGCGGCGGCTCAGAAACACGCCCTGCCGCCCAGTTTGATCTGGCGGTCGGACAGTTTCAAGTTGGCAAGTAATGTCGACTTCAGAGCTTTCCTGATCCCGTGAGAGCGCATCTGAGATCAGATCTATTTGCCTGTTATGCGTGAGATTCGAGCAGCTAGTTCAACCCATCGTGTCGCCGGAACTGGGGTGTCGAGTGCAAGCACTTCCGAACCATTCAAGCATGGCTAGCAGATGTATGTGCCGGGATGCCAAAGGCTTGTAAGCTTGTACCACTACCAGACGAAGCTGTTGCCAGTCAGACGGCCGCAGGGCCAGTCTGGATCCTTAGGCACTGCCTTTATGCATAAAGACCACGACTGCAGCCGGATCAGATGCTAAGCACATCTCTGTCACTGCAAGCCCACCAACTCGCATGCGTGGATGCTGCGCGGTGCATGATTGCCAGGCTGGAGCAGCGCGCATCCAAAACAGGTGTTTACAGCGGAGATCTTCGACTGGAGATAAAGGCCAGGGCACATGGAAACCGCTCACGTGAGGTTGGAAGAGGCAGGAGACGAATCTAGAATGATCCAGGTTCGATCTTGGAAGCCCCGTCTTCAAGCTCGCTTGGAGGGCAAAGCTGGCATGGCATGATCGTTCGCGCTGGTGTTTGGGTTGCTTGCTTGCCCGATTCGAACAGGTTGGCCGGTGCAGAAAGAGTGGGGTCTTCAGAAGCCCTGCGTGTCAGAGCATGTGCTGGACTTGCACAACTGTCTCAGGCAGTCCACGGAAGCAAGTGATGCGCTGTTGCAAGGCACCTGCCAGAAGTGCAGTGTCTGGATGCGCGAATATTCGCGAGTCTTTGTCTCAGAGTCGCCCACGAAGTATGAAGGCGAGCTGCGGCGCTGCAGGCACCAGTTCACAGCGCATACCCGAACGCAATCTCAACACTCTCTTGCCAGTCTCGTCATCACATCCGATGATCTCGATTGCCCTTTGACGCTTCTCCAAGTTGCGACGTTTGCGGCTCGTGTTGTTCGTTTCAAACCAATGCTCTGCCGATCTTCCCCTGTGCGGAATTCAGAGGTCGCACCCGCAGTACCTTGCATTGGAAGAGCCTGACACAAAGAGCAGCAAGGTGCACTTGGAGTCTGATCTGAAAGTAGCTAAAGTACCCACAAGTCAAGCCGGGGAATGTTAGGAGATCTCCGTGAGGCTCACTGACGAGGACTTGTTCTTGTCAGCAGCCTTGGCAGTCTGGCCCGTGGGCGAACTGCCATGCGCCTGGCAGGGCATCCGGTTGCAGGGCAAGCTGACAACGCTCTTTGATGCTGCTGCACACGAGTTGCGACTGCCAGGTGGGCTCTGTCTTGTTAACAGCGTCTGTTCATATTGACATGAGTTCAGCGAAGCCTGCGCAGTTCTGCTTCGTGTTGATACCGTCGGAGTGCACACCCTGCGCCTCCTCATCCTGGCGGAGGCAATGAGTCCTTGAAGAGCGGAAGAGAGTTGTAGAATGTGTGCCTATGTGTGCCTCGTGGGATGGCTGGTACTCGTAGGGACGCCGCAGGCAGAGGGCCCTGGTGGGCCTAAATGTGACCAGAGACAGTGGATCACCCTGGAGGACGACTTAATGTGGTTAGCGCTGTATCTTTGCTGAAAGATGTCGCGGCATCATTGGATTATGTCTTCAATTGGTACCTTTAAGCCTAAGCACGAAGATGCTTCCATAGCCTGCCGCATGTGCCTGGCTTGCACGGAGGAGCAGGTTGGGATTGAACCGGCTGTGTCCGTGACGGCGAGGCAGACAACAGGAGCTCCAATCGAAATCTTTCCACATCTCCAAGCACCGAGGCCGAGCCCGTCCTTCACCTCGGACGGTTTGGATCACAGTCTTTGCCGAAGCTCAACCCTTCCATGGCAGTCCGATCCGTTTTTAGGTCGTTTCATCTTCACGTGCCTCGTGGAGAACCGTGCGGCAGCACCTGTACACGTGCGATGCAAAGGGGGTGACATGAGATTGAAATTCTTTGCTTCGGTTTCATGCAATCGTCGAGTCCTGTGGAGTCGGGTCTATATGCTTTACAGATGCGCTGAGGTCACCGGCATGAGCGGCTTCTGTGATACTGGACTGGTGCCATTGGACCTACAAGCATTCACCACAGGTGCAAATGTGGCTACGGCAGAAGCAACTGGGGTGCTACGTGTCTTGTCCAGGCGAGCCACTGATTGAACCAGGCGACTCCGTGGCTTGGACAGCAGCGAAGAAGTGCAGCAGAGATGCCTCATTGTCGGCTCTGCCCGTGGCCCACGCAGTGGGTATAAAGGGTATTGTATCAGAGCGGATAGCCGATGAGAAAGAATGTGGGACCGCGGGTTGGGACTTCCGCTGTAGTAAAGGAGACTAAATGCAGGTGCACTCCTGCACTTTTGAGCTCCAGATTGTTGATTCCGGGGTTCGCCCTTGTTGCTGGCTCGAGGAAGGTGCAATGTGTCGTGGTGCTGGTGCCGGTGGCAGTAGGAGGAGCAGTTAGTAGCAGTAGTGGTCGTCGTCGTGCACTGCTCTCGTCTCACCGATCTTCCGATGACGAAGCACACCGCCGGTTTTTGCGTGGCGACTCCTTTGGCAGCATCCTTGCAATCGATTTAACTGTCTAGCCACAGACCTGTCTTGAGATCCAGGTGCGGGGACAGATGCACAAAGGATGCAGTAGAATGGCAGGTCGTCGGCAAACTCAATCAATCAACTGCCATTCACCTAGAGGTGTGTCAGTCCGTGGGCAGGACTACTGTTTTTTTCTACTACTTCTGCTTCTCCTCCTCCTCCTCCTACTACTACTACTACTACCACTACTACTACTACTACTACTACTGCTACTGCTACTGCTACTGCTACTGCTACTACTACTACTTCTACTTCTACTTCTACTTCTTCTACTACTACGACTACTACTACTACCACCACCACGACTACTACTGCTGCTACTACTACTACTACTACGACTACTACTACTGCTACTGCTACTTACCAAGCGACCACCACAGCCATGCAGCATCACCATGTTCGTCGAAGACATCATTGTTTATG